AAAAAATAAAAATTATTTGTATGGCTCTTATCTGTTTTAGCTCTAACACTGTGTCTCAGCTGGAACCGGCGCAGCTTTCATGTCTGTTAAATAACTGAGTCAACCATTTTTGTAGTTTTTATTTACTTACTTATTTTTTGGTTTCTTGACTGTGGCGGCCATCTTGAATTATGTTGAATGAATGACGTCTGCTTCATGAGATATGTTGCTCTCACACACGCACACACACACACATAAACACACACGCGCAAAGTGCTCAGCTGGTGCTGCAGGCAAACAAAGGATCTGAACTACTGGCCTACTTTGGCCCAGATCTCCACTTTAAAAGTGTGCAGCCACCGTGAAATGTATATTATTCTTACAGAGGACACACACGCACACACATGCACACGCACGCACAGTCACCATGTAAAGCTTCCATGTCTCTATAATTTATCCATCATTTGTTGTTCCGAGTATTACTGGATGTTTTGCTGGTTTACTTTTTGAAAAACTGATAAAAGATAATGTGAAGAAAACAAAGATTATCTCACTAAAATAAAGTTACTGGAAATATGAACGGATTATGGCTCACCAAAATAAAAGCATGGTAATGTGACAGCGATAAAGAAATGACAATAAATATTTACCTGATGTTTAAATCGGTGCATAATTACACTATAGTAATAATAATAATAATAATAATAATTGATTTTAGCAAATGTGCAACATGTTCAGCTGATGTTCAGAGATGATTCAACTTCTTTATTTGTCGGATTTATTTTACATAAATGTATATTTTATAAATAAATAAAATGTTCTGAGCATATTTCTCGTGTTTCTGACTCGTCCACGTGTGTTTTGTGTGTAAACCCGCAGCAGACCCCCCAGGGGTGTCAGAACCCTCCCTGCGCTCCTGGTCCCGGTGCCTCCGTGCGCCATGACGCATCCGGAGAGCGCGCGCTCTCGCAGCAGGATGAAGGCGCGCGCGGTGAGGATGAGGAGCGCCTGAAGCCGTTTCTGAGGAACTCTCTGGGGAGATGGACCTCACGAGCTGCTGGTCCTGAGGGGGACATGGGGGACCGACGCCCGCGGATCCCATCTCTGGGGGGTCTCGGCGCCAGACCCCGGGTCTCCAAGGAGACCAAGCTCCGGCTGCGCGTGATCTTCCTGGATGAGAGCGAGCGCACGTTCGAAGTGGAGGTGAGAACTCTCATGTTGCTCCTTCATCAGCTGTTTGTTCTCATTTCTGCAGCTTCTGGCCTCAAAACATCAAACAACCTGGACGAGGCTTCAAATCATTGTTTCAAAATAAAATCGTTTCAGTTCATGACGTTGCATCCAGCTGTTTGTTTCATGAAACCGGAAGTGACTTTGAATGTTGTTCGTTGTTTAAGTGAGTTAAAACTGAACTAAAATCAGATTTAGGTTCCAAGGATTTCCTCCCTCAGTCGGTCAGAGTTGAATCAAACATTGAACTCTTCCTGCTGCTGCCCTGAGCTCAGCAGGCTGCACAAACATCTGTATTCTGCTCTGTAGAAACATCTGTATTCTGCTCTATAGAAACATCTGTATTCTGCTCTATAGAAACATCTGTATTCTGCTCT